GGGCCAGGTAGGATTCATCTGGTTGCAATAAACCAAAACCCATTCTCTGGCTAGTTACAAAGAAAGGGAATTTATTGTCTCACAAAACTGAAGAGTTAATGGGTGACTTAATCTGAGGCTCAAACAACAAACCATCAAATTCCTCTCCTAGAGGGGCACCTTTACAATAACCTGTGTGGGTTCTCCAGCTCACACACCCCAACTCCTTGGTGAGTGGAAGGTAAGACTTCTTCCCCATATAGTAACCATTTAAGTCCTGTCAAGCAGTTTTGTTAGCCCTGATTGCTCCTGTTGGATGGTGCATTCACCACAAAACCAGTCACTGTGGCAAGGAGAGTGGAATGTTCTGGAATGCTCTAGTCCAGAGCCATGTGCAATGGAAAATGAGAGTATTCATCAAATGAACCACATAGAATTGAATTGAATTAGATTGAATGTTGGGAAGGAATCATTCCCTCTGAAGCAAAATTGTGTCCTGTTGTCATGAGAAGGGATTGTTGATGACTGGTGACAGATATTCCACAGGTGTCCATTACCCTGGTGGTGGGGAGGAGGTGGCAAAGATCATCAGATACCATGGCCAGCATCATGAGGGCCTTTCAGCTGATTTAGGAAACTGCATGAAATACCCACAGGCAGCTCTTCAAGAATACAATTGAATTCAAGAGGCCAGTTTGGGGCATATTCAGAATGAATTCCAGACTTGTGACACCCACTGAGTTGATGAAGAAAGGAAACGATGGAAAGCCAGAAACATTTGACCAGCAGCCAACCACAAGAGTGGCATATTAGGGTGATGTGGTCAAAGAGGGATTGGCAGACTCTTTGATTTGAAAAAAAAGAGACAAGACTGTTTTGGTTTTTTTTCCCCCAGAGAATCCAATTTGTAGCCATTCAAACCAAGTGCCTTTGAGGTTTGGATGAATAATTTTTCTTTGGTTATTACAGCAAGCATCAGAGCCAGTTAGATGCTAGTGAAGACTTTCTAAAGCTTGTAAGTCTGGTGAGAACATCAGTAAGGTGGCAAGGTGGGAACGGGGGTGGAGGTGGGGGGTGAGGGGGTGAGCCTGGGAGGGATGGAGGGTGGGGGGGAAGGGACAGAGGTGCAATGGGGTTTAGTTGGAAAGTGGGGGAGGCGTATGAGAAGCGTGGTAAGGTCTTTGAGATTCTTACACGATTTACAGATTGGTTTAGAATTTGAAGATTATGTTTGCTTTAAAAATAGATCCCAAACTGCAGTATTCTTAAATTATCACTCTTCTGCAAGATTTCTGTGATTCCCTGCTGATTAGACCTCATAGATATTTTCTCTTTATTGTCGGTATGTACAAAATATCATCCATTCATTCCCTCATTCATTCATTCAATCAACTAACATTACTTTGAGGGCTCCCTGAAGGAGCATCAAGGTTTCAGACAGGTTTGAGGATCCACCCCCACCACCTCCTCCTTACTATATCCACTGGCCATCTAGCTGCCAACTCAGCATTAGCATGTGGATGGCTCATGGGCATTTCAGGGTCAACATCGCCAATCCAAAACCCTTGATACCTCTCTCCCAGCCAAACTCTCTCCTCTTCTAGGCTTTCTCATCTCAAGGAATGGTCCCTCCATAAACCCACTGGCTCCAGCCAAAAATGTCAAGAACTGGCATTCTTGACATTTCCTTTGACTTCATACCTAAATCCAACCCAGTACCCAATAGGCTCTGAATCAATATTGACCTAATTGCAGGTGGTCGAGTGAGAGGTGAATGAATGAATAACGCTTTGATCTGCCTACACATGCCACTTCAGCCTGTGCCATTTCATCCCCCATAGAAATGCATGCTCCTGACGAGCTAGAGCTTGAGTAAGTGTATGTCTGAACAAAAATTTTTACAGTTTGAAAAACTCTTGCTATTTCCTGGAAACAGATTGTGTTTCTCTGATTGTCTATTAAGGTTTTCTTTTTTTTAACCACTGAAGATCTTGGAATCAAACCAAAGTAATCTGCATTTCCATTTTTATATCTTAATTTATAAACTGCACCTTATAATTTACAAGCACTCACTTAGTGTCTCTAGCAGAACTGAAACAAATACCAAGCCTGCCAGCTATGCCACACAAGTCTTCTCTCTGCACCGTTCCTATCAGGATCTTTCTAGTTTTCCAGGTTGGAAGAAATGGGTTGGAGATAAACCTAGCTTAGAGAGGGAAAGGATAGGAATGATGATGATGAAAGTGAAAGTGTTAGTCACTCAGTCGTGTCTGACTCTTTTCGACCCCATGGACTGTAGCCCACCAGGCTCCTCTGTTCATGGAATTCTTCAGGCAAGAATACTGGAGTGGGTAGCCATTTCCATCTCCAGAGGATCTTCCCAACTCAGGGATTGAACCCAGGTCTCCTGTATTACAGGTGAATTCTTTAGCATCTGAACCACCAGGGAAGCCCAATAATGATGATATGTCACATTTATTTAGGGGATAAAGAGGAAGGTTTCATTATACCCATTTTATAGATGAGAAAATATAGGCTGGAGATGGGAGTGACATGACCAAGATTTGTTTATCAGTGATGAGCCAGGCCTAATCTGCACCTCTGGAATTCCTCATGCCAAGAGTCTTTCCAGGACACTAGACCAGGGTGTTTGCACTCCGCACTTGTGGTATTTGGGCTGGATCATGCTTTGTTGTGCACTGATGTTTTACAGCATCCCTGGCCTCTACCTGTTAGGTGCCAGTAGCATCCACCCCACTGCAAAACCCAACTATCTCCAGACTTTGCCAAGTGTCACCCCTGATTGAGAAATAATGTGTCTTGTCCTTGAGTAAAGCAGAGGCACAAAGGTTAGGAAAATTCATCTCCCTTCACAGCCTCTCACACCCCACCCACTGCCCATTCCCTTCAATCCCAGGGTTTATTTGAGAATTGTCCTGCCCACAATATCACACAGATATCTGAACAAATACTTAGTACCTCTTATGTGGCATTGGGTCCATTATAGTCTTGATTACATTTAGTTTCCAAAGGTACACACAACTATTCCATTTTACAGATGAGGAAACTAAGGCATCGAGTTTGCCTTAATGTGGGCCATAACTTGCCCACTATTACATAGTAAGTGGCAGGCTGGGTTGCAAACCCACAGCTATCTAGCTCTGGGGACAGAGAGCTTACCTTCCCTACCCTACTTCCTTGCTCCATTTCACAGCTGAGAACATTTTCCTGGGTCAGCAAAAATGTACTGTGTTTGAGAATCCCCACCTCCTCCTCTCTATAAAGCAGTAGCCTGTCTCTCTCTAGGGAGACATCTTTCAGGATGTGCAGGACACATATCCATGGCTGTGGGTCCATGTGCCTATCACCCTCTCCAGACCATGGTCTGCATCCACACTGCCAGCACTGGGCCTTGCTGAGTAAGGTATGTAGGCAATGCATGTCAACACAGTGGTGAGGAGGACTTCTCTCGTGGTCCCACGGTTAAGACTCTGTGGTTCCACTGCAAGTGGCACAGGTTTGATCCCCAGTCAGGGAAGTTTTGCATCCCCTGCAGAGCAGCCAGAACAAAATAAGAACACGGCAGTGAGGGTTACACACAGCAGCCAGTTCTGGAGTAGGATCCTCCTGGCTATGTACTGTGTGACCCTGGGCAAGAAAACACATCTCTGAGCTAAGTTTTCCCATCTATAAAATGTGAAGACCCATTTCCCAGGGCAGATGTGAATGAAGTGATGATAAATGTAGATTGGTTCCCATGGATGCTTGGTGCTGGCTAAATGATGACCTGCAATGAATGTCAACACCCTCCATGAAGTTACCTGCAACAAACTGACTTATGATTACTGAACCCCTTATGGTCAATCTGTGACCCCCATGTAGCCATATGGAGTTACTTCTTCGGGGCTATCTGCCCAGCAAGACTTCAAGTTCCCTGAGGATACAGCATGATCCTTTGCCCACCCAGTCTCTCTGCCCCCATGGCCGGCCATATCTGCTTAAAATGATCGCTGAAGCAGCCATGGTACTGATTCCTACAGTCATAATCATTTGCATCCGGTACTGCTTCTTCAGTAGTATCTTAACATATGAAATGATTTCCTTGGTTAGTAGCCTGATGATGGGCCCTTGATTCTGCACTCTGAGTAGTCCTGGCTTTTTGCCATTTTGATTATGTGTTGACCATCTTCTTTGATTTCTCCAGCTCACACTATCTTGTGGTGAGATTCAAGCTCAGCACATCAAAGGTGGGGTGAGAAGAGGGGCTCAGAAGGGCCTGGTTACCCACATCCCCCATCCAGGCTCTAGCCCCCATTTCTGCCCAACCATTTACTGCTTGACCACCGGACAGTTACTGACGTTTTCTGTGCCTCAGTTTCCTCACGGGTAGATTAGGGCATGCCTCAGAGAGTTAGAACACTGAGTGTACAGAGCCTAGAATGCATCACACCGTGGGTCTCTATTAACTATCGCCCCTAGTGCTTTACTTCGGGCGGGTGGGGTGGCTAGTGATGCGCTGAGAGAGGGAGAACTTGGATAGGCTTTGGAGCTCAGTGGCGAGCAGTAGGCAGGCCCCGGAGCAGCAGGGGCGCGCAGGGCTGTAGCGGCTTTTCTTGCCTGCATGCTTTCAGGAGAGAAAGGCGGCTAGCTTCTGTAAGCCTCCGGTGCTGAGAGCAGGGAGCCGACCCCACAGCCCCACCGCAAAAGACAAGCAAGCCCATCCCCGCTGAACTCGAATGACAGCATTCACATCCTTCAAATGTTAATAAAGGCAGCTCAAAATTCTGTACTCTTCAAAGACCCAGGACGAAGTCTCCCTTCCCAGTGATCAAGCCACTGCCCCGAGCCCTACTTTTCCTTCTTCCTCACGTTTTGGTCTGGCTCAAAGGAGCCCAGGGTCTCCCCCCAAATCATTTGGAGCCAGTGAAGGGACTGCGGGCATCTGATCCCCCATCGCTCAGCCAGGTCCCCGGGGCGGGGGCGGGGGTCTCCGTCCAGGCCGGCCCCTCCCCCAAGGTCACCTAACTTTTTCCTCTCTCCGCAGCTCCTGGGAAGGGTCCGGGAGGGGGCGGCGGGGCGCGGCAGGGGCGGTGTGAGGCCCCCTCCCCGCGGGCGGGCGCCCGCCCCGCATTATTCATTGGCCAGAGCGGGCTGCGGGCGCGGGTGCTGATGTCAGGCGGGCGCGGGTGCGGCGGGCGCAGCGGCGGCGGCCGCCCAGCAGCCCGGGCGCGGGTGGGGGGGCGCCGAGTGGGGGTGGCGGCCAGCATGCTGCTCGGCTGCGGCTCGGCCTCCCACACCCGCGGCGCCCTTGTCCTCGCCAGTAGCGGCGGCGGAGTCGCGAGCAGCGCCCGCGTCTGCAGCGGCGCAGGGTCCGAGCGCGCGGCGCGGCGGCGGCGGGGGTCGTGGCCGGGGCGGGGACCGGGGACCCGGGCATGGCGCTGCGGAGGGGCGGCGGGGCGCCGGGGCTGCTGCTGCTGCTGCTGGGCACCGCGTGCCTGACACCGCCGAGCGCGCAGGTGAGGCGGCTGGTGCGCTGCCCCGCCACTTGCAGCTGTACCAAGGAGTCCATCATCTGCGTGGGCTCCTCCTGGGTGCCCAGGATCGTGCCGGGCGACATCAGCTCCTTGTGAGTGAGTGGGACCCCGCCAGCCCCCTGCCCCGTCCTGCCCCACCCTGCTGCCCGGGAGTTGCCTCTGGCGCCGGGACAGCGCGACCCTGACTCCCCTGCTTCCCGGCCCCCTTTCTTTGCGTTTGGGTTGGGGCGCGCCGTGGGACGTGGGTGGAGCCTCGGGGCCCGGGGAGGATGAGGGGAACCCGAGACTCGGAGTCTGGGAAGCCGGACAAGTCCCTGTGGCAGTGCTTTCTCAAAGTCTGGCCCGCGGGCCACCTGCATCAGATCCACCTTGGAGAGTTTGTGCCAAGGCAGATTCCGGGGCCCGCGCCGAATGATGCAGGGTCTGGGGAGTGGAGCCTCGGAGTCTGCATTTGGCCGTCCCCAGGTGACACTGGCATGCACTAAAGTTTGAGAGGAGGATGTGTGCTGGAGTGGAGACGTGTGGGGGTTGTGTGGGGGCGTGTATATGCAGCCCAGCGGGACTGGAGCCATTGCGCAAGGATGAGGCCTCATTGTCCCACCCGAGAGGTCTGGGGCTGTGGTTTCCACGGTGGCCTCCTCTGGACCTGTTCACGCTGCAGGTTGGACAGAACCTGGGAAAGGGCACGTCAAGTGGTGGTGCTGCTCCATGTGGCCTGCAAGAGGGAAGCACAGGAGACTTGGTGGAGCACTAGAGAGGGTGGGCATCCAGCTCAGTGGGCAAGTGCTGGGAGTCAGCCTGACTTCTTGCCCTGCGTTTACAAGGCCTTCTTGCCCACTTCCCCACCACGCATTACCCTGGCTGCCTATTCAGTGCTGGAGGAGCGGGTAGGAAAGGGCTTCCCTTACTGACTCAGCTGCTTGAGAAGGCTTTCAACCTGGCCTTACACAGCCGCTCGGGCCACATGACCAGCTCTCATCATGGCTGTGGAAGGGGCTCTTGGGCTGTATCTTCACTGCTGGGAACTGTTTCCTGCTGAGATGACTCCTTTGTTCAGGCCAAGGTGCTGGAGTGATACCTATTCTGTCGTAGGGCACAGATTCCCCCTGAAAGTGGGGAGGGGGAAGTTGCTCACACTTTCTCTTGTCTCCATTTCCCTGCCTCCGTCCCAAGCAAGGTACTGGGGTCCAGACCCAGGAGTGAAGGCCTTCATATTTGCATTTATAGAAATCAGGAGAGTCTGGCCAGGCCAGAACAGAGGGCCTGTTTGACACCTAATATTGCTAAGTCAGATGACATGGAGAATTCCAGAAATGAGAATTCCCCTGGTTAAATCCCTTATACCACCAGCTGCTTAACACAATGGCATGCTAACTGAAATAATTCTGAAATGATGTATTGAGATCCTACTGGGGCCAGAAAGGATGAGGGACCTGGTGGCTAAAATAGTCAAGGTTCTTGCTCTGGTTGACCGTTAAATCTGACAGATGGCATTGCCTCCCACTGCACATTCAAGTTCAGGTGTCTCTGAGATTTTCCCCAAGGCTTTTACGGTGCATTTAATCAGAAGTGCTCTGAGTGACTTTCAGAGCTGTGCTCCCAAGGGGAATGCTTAATCCTATCCTGGAGTTTCGTGGGCCAACATTAATGCTGTGTCTACACAAACAGAATCATGGGCAGAGGTAAAGCAATTATCCATTTTCAGCTAAGGCCTCCTGTAGTTAGGAAAAGGAAGCAAGGGGATTGATTTAAACCGGCTGAGATAATGTCTATGGAAGGAGCTAGACTGATGGTAAAGGTTTCCATTATTCAGCGCAGTTTTCTTATTGATCCGGTTCATTGGAAAATGGCTGGACTCGTCTTGTTTCTTACCCCAAGAAGTCCTGCTTGAAGCCTCACTCCTGAGTGGAGGAGTTTGGACAAGGCCACTCGCCCATCCTGCCTGGTACTTCCTGAAAGCAACATAGTCTCCATATTGTTCCTCTCTTGCCTATAGGAGCCTGGTAAATGGAACCTTCTCAGAAATCAAGGACCGGATGTTTTCCCATCTGCCTTCTCTGCAGTTGCTGTGAGTGTGGGAAGTCCTCTCTGGAATTGCGGGTCCTGGGGCTGTGGTCTTGGGAAGAGCCATCTCTGCCTCCTGGGTATCTGTCCTTCCCAAGATACCCGTGCTCCACCAGTAAACCAAGGCAGGCTCTTAGTGTTGACTTGGTCCATCGTGTCCCCACCGAGCTGAGTTCCCAGTGCTCAGCTCCCTTTCCTTTTCTGGCATGTGTTTTCCTCAAGGACTTTATTGTAGACGCCATCGCCCACAGCCAGCAACAATGGGGGAGATTAATTACATTAAATTATGGCCTGAATTTTGCCCAAATGAACCATTTCCCAAACACCTCCCTTTAAAAGAGAGCCTGCATTTTAAACTCTTAATGTTATTATGGTCATAGGAATATTTCTAGTATGTAAATTAGACTGAGTATGTAAACTGTTGGGCAGCATGCTATGCATTTATGGGCAAATTTTTATTTAATGATATCAGTATTTTCCTTTTCCCATTTGACAGATGGGAAAACTGAGACTCAGAGAAGTTAAGTAACTTGCCCAAAATCACAGCCAGAACTCTGACCCAGGGCCCAAAGCCCACACTCGTAACTCCTCTTCATCCCAGGTGCTTCTGCCAAGAATTTGTGTCCTGTGCCTTGTAGCCTTGGTCAGTTAATATTTCCTGATAAAAAGCAATGTCCAAAATGCAGTTTTCAAAAGCAAATCAGTGACAGGCAAGGTCATGAGTACTTAGCTCACTCTTTTTTTGTATTAGTTTCTTAAACTTGAATGAGATCAGAATGAAAACTATCAACATACTTGATGCAAACCGAAAGATATGAAGATAGGGCATATAGTAGACTCATCCCAAATCAACTTCATTTTGACCTTTTTGTTTTTGAAATGTTATGTACCTACTTACAGCATTATCCTTACCACTTTAAAATCTATAATTTCTGAGAAATTATAGTTCTATTAAAATATTCTTTCCATATGATACAAATGCAGAATAGTCATCAGTGGTGATGGTAGAGACTATAAACTTTTACCAAAGGCTTAAGTGGTAACGCAAACAACTATGTAGTGAACAAGAATCTTCTGAAGTTTTCTTAAACTTTTTTGTTATTTCCCATAGGCAGGTGTAGTATGCTAGGAAGGTTTTTTGTTTTGTTTCATTTTGTTTGGTCTCAACTGTGTGACTTTTATCAAGTCACTTCACTTCTCTGAATTCAAGTTTCTCCAAGAGTCAGATTACTTCTTTATAGATGTGTGCATCATAAAGCACTCACTGGCTGTTTAGTTGTGCTGAACATTGGAAAGCTATGAGACAACAGCTCTTAGGTCATATTTACTGAGACCCACAGGGAAGAAAGGTGGAATAATAAGGGTGACCAGAAAATCTGGCCAAAGGGAATCTACTTGCCATTATCCATCAGTGTCTGTGAGTCAGGCTGTGCATGGAATGGGCCAGTTTTAGACTGAGAAGAGCCCATGTTTGCCCACAGATCAGAACATAACCAAAGAAGCAGAAACGGCGTCACCATGTAACTCAACTTTGGCGCTTATTCGCTGGAATCTGTTGATATCTGTCTCTTGTTTTCAGATTGCTGAATTCTAACTCGTTCACAGTCATCCGGGATGATGCTTTTGCTGGACTCTTTCATCTTGAATACCTGTAAGTTTTGTGCTTTGTCTATGTGCTGAGTAATTGGGATGTCAGTGGAATGGCTGTATTGCTTTCCAAGCTGGAACAGCATCTCTTAGAGAGCTTGGGGATGGGGGAGAAAATGCAGAAAACCCCATTCTCTTTTCAGCGCTGACCTTTTATAGTTTACTTGTGTATGAACTTGCTGGGACAGGAGGAGGTTGGAGAAAAAGAGGGGGAAAGGGAACAAAGAAGGAAAGATATTCATTCATTCTCTGCTGACATTTAATTTGTCATGTCGTAAGCACAATTGGAAATTGCATCGGGTATTTTTACCTCTGAAAACTAGGCGTGGATTTGCTGATCAGCCAGAAATAAAGCTGAAGGATTCTGAGGGTTACATATTTGTGAGAAAGTCTCCATATTTGGGGCTACAACTTCATGTTTTTAATTCAACTGTCCTATATCCCATTTGCAGTATCCCTAGTGAGCTGCTGCTGGGAGTCTAATTTTATTTTTTCTCCTTTAAAACAAAGGTTATTTTTCCCCTTTCAGATGTGCAGTTGTCCCCTCAGCAGCAATGAGCTCTGCCCTCACTCTGATTTCTGCCTTTTCACACTCTCATAGTCTTTTTCCCCCTTAAGTTCTCTCAGCCTTGTCTTTTGTCACTTTGTAATGATATTAATCCAGCTATCAGGTGGGATTTCCTCACTTAGCATTCAGAGGGATTTTTAAAACCTTGTCTCTGCCTTCTTATCTGAGATATTTGAATTCTAAGCACATCCTGTGTCTAGGAAAGCTCTCTGCTGATTTTCTGTCCTCAGGAAAGATGTCTCTGGAGGAATTCTTTCTCCAGACGACACATAATACAGGTACTGTCATAATAGCTGATAGTCTAGGTAACCTGGGAAGAGTGGTCAGGCTGAAGTGCTAAGTTTAACTAGGTTCTACAGAAGCACATAAACAGTCAATGGAGGTGCTGAGTAAAGAGAGAAAGAGTTCTCTCTTTCCAGTAGTGCATCTTCCTGTCAAAGTTATTGAGGAGGAAGTTTGCTTCTCAGTTTATACTGACGTTTATTACTGAAGAGACCTCTGATTTTTTTTTTTTTTTAAAAAGACCAGATCATTCTCAGTGTACTAATCAAGAACTGTTTCACTAACTAATGACATCACAGTGCATAGCCTCTCCCTTGGACCATCTCATCAGAGACCCTCTTATACTTGAAGAAATGTGAGGCCGTAAACTGAAATTTAGTTCTCTGTGGCCCTCAGGAATAGTCCCAGTGCATTCACTTCATGTGTTTCCCACAGAGACTTTAAAGCACGGCCAGAGTTTTTATTGTGAGATTCTATGTGCAAGCCCTAAGACATTTAAGCACTGAGAAAGAAGTTTGGTCTGTGCTCACCTTCTTTATACTTTCTATTTCCAGTGACCTAGAGATCTAGAGAGTATCTCTGTCTTGTTGCCCATGTGTTCAGAGGTGACGCCGTGCAGGGCGTGATGAACTCAAGCTTGTTGGAGTGAGTGAGTGAATGAAAGTCTCTCAGTGATGTCCGACTCTTTGCAACCCCATGGACTACACAGTCTATGGAATTCTCTAGGCCAGAATACTGGAGTGGCTAGCCTTTTCCTTCTCTAGGGAATCTTCCCTACCCAGGGATTGAACCCAGGTCTCCTGCATTGCAGGCAGATTCTTTACCAGCTGAGCCACAAGGGAAGCCCAAGCTTGTTGGAAGCCAAGTTTAACTGAATTATCCCTGGGCAAAGACTTCAATGTGTGCATAAGCATTCAGTCGCTTCAGTTGTGTCTGACTCTGTGCAACCGTATGGACTGTAGCCCACGAGGCTCTTCTGTCCATGGGATTCTCCAGGCGAGAATACTGGAGTGGGCTGCCGTGTCCTCCTCCAGGGGATCCTCCAGACCCAGGGACTGAACCCGCGTCTCCTGTGTCTCCTACCATCGGCAGTCAGGTTCTTTACCCATTCAGCCATCTGGGAAGTTCAAAGGCTTCAATGTGGTGGTGTAAAATAGAGGGCGCTGTTCAAGGGACAATGATATAAAGAAAAATATTAATAGCCAGGTGCTGTGAAATGTAAGAAGGCTGGAGAGGGAAAGAGGTCTGGAAGCGTTCCAGTCTTGTGGAATTTGAGAATATCTTGTCGTTGTCTTGGAGAAGGAAATGGTAATACACTCCAGTACTCTTGCCTGGAAAATCTCACGGTCAGAGGAGTCTGCTAGACTATAGCCCATGGGCTCGCAAAGAGTCAGACACGACTGAGTGACTTCACTTTCCTTTCCTTTCCTTTCCTTTGCCTTCGTCTAGGGCTTTCTTCTTTCCCCCCCAAGATGTTTCTACCCATGCTGCCAACTCTGACTTTGAAGACTTCCATGCTGCTTCGGGAAGGAATGCAAAAAAGCATACCTGTGTGCATGCGCTCTTGCACACACACCCGGTTCCCACTTGGAATCTGGTGTAGCTGGCCAAGACTTTGGACATGAACTTTTGAAATTCATAAATGCTTTTAGATTCCATTCTGAAAGCATCCCAGTATCTTTTTTTGAGGTATTAAGCACAGAAAATTCAGTTTAATTATATGGATTTTCTTCTTAGGTTCATTGAAGGGAACAAAATAGAAACAATTTCGAGAAACGCCTTCCGTGGCCTCCGTGACCTGACTCACCTGTAAGTCCTGTGAAAAGTGTTGTAACTTCTTTAATGTGATGAGTGAGGGTCACTTCCTGGTTCTTCTCTCCTTTTATAAAATTTTTATTTTATATGGGGGTCTAGTTGATTTACAATGTTGTGTTACTTTCAGGTGTACAACAAAATGATTCACTTATACATACACATATATCCGTTCTTTTTCAGATTCTTTCCCCATGTAGGCTGTTACAGGGTACTGAGTGGAATTCCCAGTGCCTCTCTCTTTCTTGGCTGTTTTGCCCACACTGTAATAGCCACTGAAGGAAATTCATTTCTAGGTTGCCCGAGCGGTTTCTATATTGTCAGTCAGGCACCATCCCATCATAAGCACTCATGCACTTGGCTTTCTTATCTTCTCCATCTTCCTGAATCACCATTGTGGTTCATATGACTGCCTATGAAATCAGGGAGTGATGGGATTGATGGAGGAGATGGAAAGGAAAGAAACATGTATTGTATACCTACTTTGTGCTTAGTAAGCTTTTATCTTTCTCCTTAATCTGGGAGTCCCCATTGTACAGATTTGGGAACTGAGGCTTACCTAACTCATTGAATGCTGAATGGAAGATAAACATTTGTTGAAGCAGAATAGACATTTTTGTGGTTCCTTTAATTTGAATGCAAATAGCTTTTTCTTTTATGTTGGATTTATCTGTGGCTTAAGCTAAGCTCTCTGGGTTCTTTAATAGCTTTCTGGAGAAAAAAATTAAACAAATTGATTTGAATTGGCGTATCAAATGAAACAAGCACCACACACTTAGCAAATTTAGAAAACTGGAGAAATAGTGGCTGAGCTTATGAAAATGTGAACATCGTCTTTGTCTTGGTAGGAGCAATTTAACAGCCAGGAACCAGTCACATTTGCATACTAGAAACTTTGTGTGTGAGTAGGATAACATACCCCATTTCCATAGTGAGCTTGTCTATGGTCAAAAAAATAAACTGGGGAAATTGAAGGGCTTTGAGCAGGAGTATTACAAAAGGGTGTCAGTACCTCCTGTACGTGAACTCTAACTGATACAGCATCTAAAGGGATCATCTTTTACATCAGACCCTGATAGAGGCAAAGGTGTCTGTCAGTAGGATCAGCGAGCACTTGATTCTGGAGTCCTACTAATCAAAAGTCTTGCCTGAGTCACAATTTGTAGAGGAAGGAGATAAGGGGAGCGGGAATGGGAGGTCCAAACAGCACAGCCGATCCTGGACAGTATCAAACTCTTATTGGCATTATTTCTCTGTGATTTCTTTCCTTCCTATAAAAGTCTTGATTGTTTTTTCAGATTCAGCCTAGATGCCCAATTCCCACATTCTTATAGAGGCTAAGACAGTGGGCTTTGAGTCACACAGACTTAGGTGCAAGTCTCAAGGCTGCCATTTGTTAATATTGTTTAACCTTTTTTGAGCCTCACTTTCCTCATCTTTGAAAATGGGGATGATTATACTGAACTCATAAAATAGCTGCACATGGTGGGTTAATGCTTGTTTGCAAAGCATCCGGCCCATTATCCATGGTAAATGCCCAAGATCTGGTTGGCGTTATTATCATCTTCCTCCTCCAGAGCAGAACATCATCACTCCATCCATCCACCCATGAAGAAGTCTCAGTTTTCTCCAATGGCTGCTGAGTAGCAGTTTGGCAGTTTGGGTGGCTAGACAGGGTCTTTGGTAAGACAGCTGTGGATGTCTGGAGAGGAACAGCTGTGGCCAGACAAATCCACTTCCCGAAAGTCAGGAATGAGGGGCTTTGTTTCTGAGCAAAGGCTCTGGGCAGATTCTGCACCTAAAGCAAAGCCAGTGTGACTGGTTGACGTTGCCCAGATGTCAGCTTTCATTGAACCAATTGGCTGTGGGTCCCTGATCTGAAAACAGGTGTGAGTATGCAGGTATTGTGCATATATATTTGCGTATTTTTGTGTATGTGGGCTCTTGGTCCATGCACTTCTACTCATGGGTGTACATAACTGTGTGTGTGCTTGCGCATTTGCACATACAACCATGTGCTGTGTTACCCATATGTGTGCAAGAGGCACCTCCTTGTCTGTGTGACACGCAGGGGCACACGCAGAGGGAACAAAGGAGTCTTTTGTTTGGGTCGAGAGTGCATCTGATGTGTTAGAGGAGATGTACGTTCATCTGGCATGTGTTACCATCCTCCAGTCAAGCCTACGGAGCACCCCATCCCCAGCTCTCCAGCCTTATTTCCCTGAACATGCCCACAATACTGGGCTCTCCTGAGCACACCCAATTCACCCCGTAACCAGCCTTTCCCTTACATCATTTCCCTTGCCCAGAAGATGGTTTCTTCTGCCCACAGTCTTCTGGGACCGTCCTTTTCCTCCACAGTCCAGATTAAGTTCTATCTTTTCCCTGGAGCCAGTCCTGATCCCCCCTCCTCCCTTCTTGTAGCCTGCTCCGCTGACTCCACACAACCAGTTCTTGGCAGTAGACACTGGCCATATTGGTTGATGCCATTTCACGGATGCTAGTTTCATCTCTGAGCTGGGTTGAAAGCTCCCTGAGGGCAGGGTTCCTACAGCTCTTCCATTTGCTCCACGCCTCCCCGGCGTCTCACATGGGGCCAAACCAGCAGGGCGTTCTTTCTGACTCACTGGCAGACCAATGAGTTACTAAGCTGAGTGTTCCATATGTGCTCCAGTGCAGTGCAAGTCTTATGACTTTTAAAGTTGACTCCTCTAAGGCTGGAGATGTATGTAGTAATAAAAAACATTTACTATGCTGTTCAGGGTTTCCCAGGTGGTGTAGTGATAAAGAATCCACCTACCAATGCAGGGGATGTGAGTTAGATCCCTGGGTTGGGAAGATTCCCTGGAGTAGGAAATGGCAACCCACTCCAGTATTCTTGCCTGGAAAATTTCATGGACAGAGGATCCTGGTGGGCTACAGTCCATGGGGTTACAAAGAGTCAAACATGACTGAGCATGCATGCAGCATGAGCATGAAGCAGCAAACCACTGTCTAAGGAATGAACTGATCCCCAGCCCACCCCATCCTCTTTTTTTTTTTTTTTTTGTGAACTGGTAAGCAAAGAGAATACATCAGCTCATTAAACTTCACTTCTGTGCTTAAGGAAGTGACTATCTGAAATTTGCTTAAGTACCTGCTTTTTATCTTTTGTGAGCTTTTCTAACACCTGCAGACTCACATTCATACACAAAGGAACATAGATCAGGTTTCAAAGCATTGAAGGAACAGTGCCAATCTGTAACTAAAATCTGGGACATTTGTTTTTCCAGCGGTCCCACAAAGCCCAAGGGACCAGTTACTGTTAAGTAGTTTTAGAAATGAAGTAAGTGCCATGACAAAATGAAGTGGAAAGTGGGATGTTTTGCACTGAGTCTGGGGGTGTGGGGAGGTGGTGGTGGATAGTCCATCTAAATAATTCAGCTTTCTGAAATCTTAATTGAACATTTAGAACAGTTGCTTTTATTTTGGCCTTGATGACTCCATATATGCTTATCAATTCAATCTAGTGCATTTCAATTCACTAAAAATATTTAAGTAAACTGCTGCTGCTGCTGCTAAGTCACGTCAGTCGTGTCCGACTCTGTGCGACCCCATAGACAGCAGCCCACCAGACTCCCCTGTCCCTGGGATTCTCCAGGCAAGAACACTGGAGTGGGTTGCCATTTCCTTCTCCAATGCAGGAAACTAGTAACCTTTAATTAGCTAAAAAATTGTGCTTCACTTTAAAAAAAAAGTGACTAGCAACCAGAAAAAAATAAAAACAACTATCTCCTTTTTAAATTTCAAAAAGCTGCTTCTGGAGAATGTTCAGTCTGATTATATCCGAAGTCTATAATCTACAGTCTGTAGTTACAATTCCAATTTATCGTCTGTTCAACCTATTTCCAACATCTTTAAAAATATACAAATAAATCATTTAGGAAAGAAATGTAAAATGATACATGAAACTGTATTTCAATACATTTGTGGTTACCTGGATGAGAAAGGACATAATTCAGAAACTATAGGTCTCCCTGTATTCTGTTGATATCATGCAGTAAGAATGTTTGGATTAAAAATGGGCACAAAGCTTTCTATCCTAGCTGACTCTAAGGAAGAACACTGTTTGATTCCTACTTCTTGGATGGGTCATTAGGATACTATAAAAGACTGATTTCATATATATTTTTAAAGGGGGTGGTTCTCAATTCCCTATGTGTTGATTATCATTTATGTGTTTTCTGTTTGTACTCAAGTGTATAGAAGAAAACAAAAGTAAGCATGAGTGTTTTGGCTGACTCACTCAGGGCACGAGGGCTGGGGGAAATCAGACTTGATGTATATCATTTCAACACCTAGCATATTTCTACGTCAGCGGCCCAGCACCATGGACATTCATCTTCAGCAGGATGATGACAGGACACTGCATAATCCTGAATAATCAGAGAAAGAGTTGATAATATGTGTTCAAGTCTACTTCCTGAAGATGGGGGCTATATTATAGAGAGACATTATAGAAAGTTCTTCAACTCGAAGAGCAAAAGTGAAGAATGGTTTCTAGTTAACCTTCATTAATGAGAAAATGAGATTGATCTCAATCAGTCATTCCCTAAACTCTGTGGTTCACTGAGATTTTGTATTATCATTAGGGTTAGAGCTGAGATTCTTTATGTAAAAGAGTATTTACTGAGTCCTTTTTTTTTAGTCACAAGTAATAAAATTCACTTGGATGCCCTACTAGGGAACTTCTTGGGATAAGACTGAACATCTGTTTTTTTTTTTTTTTTTTAATCATTCTCATTTGTTGTTTAAACCATTCATTGAGAAAGACTTACTGAGTTCCCACTGTGTGCCACTGTGCTAGATGCAAGGGATACAGATATGGACAGACAAAAACCTCTGTCCTCATGTAGCTTATGTTTAGGGAGAATACATAGTCAGTAGACAAATAGATAATATATAGTGTTTGCTAAGTGATAGTTGTGTGATGATGATCAACAGAGCATGGAAGGGACTAGTGTAGGGATCAGGGAAGGTGGTGAAAGTGGAGGACGGACCTCAAGAGGGTGCTGGCTGAAACTAGGGGAAGAGCATCAGGCAGATGAACACCAGGTTCAGAGAACTTGAGCTGAGAGCATGCCTAGCCTGTGTGAGGAATAGCAAAGCAACCAGAGTGGGTGATCTGAGTCGTTAGAGATTCAGTCCCACGGGTAGGTGGGAATGGAGGTAACTAGACATGGGGGGCCTTGGGTGCCATCTAAAAGACTTTGGCTTTTATTCTGAGAAACATGAGGTGCCAACATGTATATCATGTATATCATAAAACATGAAGTTTAATGTATATATCAAGAACTTAATAAATGCTTGTTTTCAAAACAAAACAAAAAACATATTGTGTAGTTCAGCATCTCTAATGTTATCTTTTTATAACTAAACTAAAATTCTTTATCTCAGTATCAGTGACCAAAGTCAGACATTGAACTGCATTGAGCTCTGTTTTAAATCACTTGCATTATTTAAGGGACTTCAGAGTGACTGGGCATAAAGATAATAAACACATTAAATCGTGACTTTCTTGTTCTAGTTCTCTGGCCAACAACCACATAAAAGCACTCCCAAGGGATGTCTTCAGTGATTTAGACTCTTTGATTGAACTGTAAGTAATGAAGATTAAGTTTATGTGTGCTTGTCTTGGAATCCAGTCTTCCCCATACTGCATTTCGTTGTTGTAGTAGCTAAAAATCCATGACAAAGCAGCGAACACTGGGAAATAGCATATAGATTGTATTGTGTTTGATTTTGCCATGTTAACTGTGCTTAGTAGAATTAGGCCAGTGGTAATTCGCCATGCTGGGTGAGAGGGTCCCCCTTTCTCCCCATGAGTGATGGCATATCCATCTGCTTTATCTTCTTGTGTTTTGGCATTCCTTATTGGACCAAGTTTAATGAGATCTTAAAGTTTCAATTGCATTTGTCAAAACTGTCTTCCTTTAGTGTATTGTTTTTGTGTGTAAGGACCTATGCTGGGTGCTGTTCTTCTTTCACCCCTCCCCCATTTCCAGCATGGTGTGGTGACATTTTCAAGAGGATTTGCAGAAATGGTGGTGTGTCAACTCTGAGAACCCTCTGTGTGCCCTGTGGTTAAAATCAAGGACACTGAAGAGTGTTCCATGAAGTCAACGAGAAGTAAAAGACATCGGATGCATTAAATAGAAAAAATTTTTTAAATTCCACTTTTTGTTATTTGTTAAATATGTCAGGATATTAAGAATTCTGGAGTTTCGTATTACTGCTGAAACATTTCTGACATGCCTGTTTCTCTGTGTCTGTGTTTGTTTTGTTTTTTTAGAGATTTGAGGGGCAATAAGTTTGAATGTGACTGCAAAGCCAAGTGGTTGTATCTGTGGTTGAAGATGACGAATTCCACTGTTTCTGATGTCCTGTGTATCGGTCCGCCAGAATATCAGGAAAAGAAGCTGAATGACGTGACCAGCTTTGACTATGAATGCACAACTACAGGTATTCAGAACCTCTATCATCAAAGTCTGATATTTAGAATAATCCTTTTTTAAAAAATACTATCAACAGGGAGTTGGAAAATGTCGGGATAAAAGTTTTCTATCAAAATTATTTTCGGGGAAATTTAAGCGTTAAAAAAGAAATGAATTGACGTGGCAGGAAAAATATCTCAGCAGTCTGGAAAGATTTTTATTAACTGCACTGACTTTAATTTTGATTCTTTACAACTTCAAATTTCTCTAAAGCTTTTAAGGCAGGAACTGGTGAGTTTGGCATGAGAACATTTTCAAATCAGGCTAGGTTTCACATAAAGCCAATGCCCAGATACCTAAGTCACTGTTCTCTTGTTTGAATAATATGAAATTTATTGGACACTTAACTAATAAATACCAGACTTTTAAAATCTATAAATTGCTCTCATAGTTCCATGTAAAATGAGATAACTAGGTAAGTCACAACCATGGCAGAATAGAAATACAAGTTAACAACGAGTTATCAAAAGGAAAAATTCACACTGAGGAAACAAAATGTAAAGAAAGTTTGATTATTTTTTCTAGGGCCTGCCTTAAGGTTTCAGTTTAGACATATTCAGGTTAAAAGATAAAATTAAAATACAGTCTCAACTGTCATATCTTGTGGAAAACAGGAGAGTAGCTCCATACGAAAGCTTAGATGGAGTTTCTACAGCTTCTAAAGCCACATTTTAAAGGAGAGCAGATCAATCCACAGTATGCAACCTGCTTACCAGACTTATAAAAATAAACATTCAGGCTGAGAGTTGATATCTACAAAGCCTCAAGGCATGTCAGTAGGAGCAGCAGGATCGAAAACTCAGAAAATAGTTATAGAAACTCAAAAGACAAAAACTCCAAGAACAAAATACCACATTTAAACTCTACTGCTTTCCCCCGATCAAATAAACAAACAAAAACTCAGAAGGAAAAATTATTTCCGGATATCTTTGTCAATAAGTGACCCCAACAAGTTCTGTCCTTTTCTGAGAGGAAACTTAAAGTCTTATGGAAATGCTCTTGTCTTTCATCACTGAACAGGGACTTATTCAGCTGTGTAATTGGCAGGTGCCCTTTAGCCAACTGAGGCCACTGGGGGTTTATTTATTGTATTGTAGAGCAGCGCAATAAATCAGAGGTCACGGTCAATGACGTCTGCATCAAAAGGTGACATTCAAGGCCATGCCGTATGAAATGTGAAACCACAGCTCACTGGGGCTCCTCTCTGCCTGTTCTCATTTTTCTGGAGAGTTTTCTAAACCCCACACTGAAGTGAGCAGCTTTTCCGTTGGTCTCTTCACACCTGGCCCTAGTGTGTGAAAACTGCCAGTCTCAGAGAGAAATAGCTTGGGCTGCAGAGAGCCTTGGGACTTGGGCATCTGCTCCAGACCTGGCATCTCTGGGGTAGCATGAAGTCCTTAACACATTTTGGGCATTCTCTTATACATATTTCTCTCCCCTAACAAGCTTTTTGCTAAAATTTAGAAAGTTAGCACCCCACCCTAGAAGCAAGGAAATGATGATTCTGCCTTTGCACTTGTTTTATCCCCTTAAGGCTCATGAACAAATAAACTCTGGCTCACAGCATCTTCCATCATGAAAAAATGGTGCCACCATGCTGTGACCCACCCACGAATATAGTCCCTTCCTATCTTTTGGCTCAGATCAAGCCTCATCCTCTGGTGCTTTATTTAGGACCAGGGAGGAAATAGGTGAAGAAGGATGGAAGTTGGAAAGTCAAGTCTGAGATTCATGGTACCGGTGTTGCATCCTCACGCGAGGTTGAGGAAGAAGCATATTTTCTCAGTGCCTTGTTTTCCTCTTAGCTCAGGGTCTTAGGAAAGAGTAAATTCTTCAGGTAGATGTCTCACCTTGTTCTTCCCAGGGAGAGGAAGGTATGATTACCATCCTGTTCCTCAGCGCAGGGGTGTAATTAACACCACAAAGCAACCCCTGGCTGGTTTCAGCTCTCCAGATTAATCACAGTCCCTCCATAACCCTCTGCTTCAAATCTATTTTTAACCACCTCCAAAATCCCTGTTACCTACTCATGATTCCCCATGTTAGGTGGATAATTCACTAAATTCCTTAGAGGGAGTGAATTTTGCATCCTAATTGTCCCGTTAGCTTCCCTATTTCAGGGCTGATGAAAATGCAAAGAGAAATAATGCATTAATGTGCAGTTTCTCTCCCCATAGGATCAGCATCATGTATAATTTATTTCCTGCAAGTGCTATAAATAGCTATGTAAAAATCTGTTGATTCCAGTGGGAACAAGGCCTAAATTGTAAGAGTCCTACTGACATCATGAACTTAATCCGATGTGAATGGAAGTGGCTGGGCTTTTTGCAGAGAAGGCCATTAATACTTTAACACTAGTAAATTGATGTCATATCAATATGTGGATTGTTGGAGATCTTTCGGCAATGTATGTGCTTTTGCTGTCTGTGACAAGTAATGTAAGAGGGGGATGGGGGAAGATGTTTAAATTCCCCAGGTCCCCTCCCCCATTCACACAAGCACACATTCATCAATCATATTGTTTCACCCGTTTCTTCCCCTTTTTCTTCTCTTCTTTCTTCCTCCTCTTCCTCCTCTCCTTTTTGGTCATTGAAGAGGGAGAAGGAGTCTCCTATTAAGAATTAGACCTATGAAACTTCCCTGGCGGTCCAGTGGTTAAGATTTTACCTTCCAGTGCAGGGGGTGTGGGTTCAATCCCTGGTAGGAGGTTAAAATACCACACACCTCGAGGCCAAAAGATGTAAAACAGAAGCAGTATTGTAAAAAATTCAATAAAGATTTTTAAAATGGTCCACATTAAAAAAAAAAACTTTAAAAATAAGAATTAGATTTATAATTCAAATGATTTAGGAGTCTCTGCTTTGCCAGATAGCTAGGATATAGAAAATATTGTGAAACCAATGTTTTGGGGGAAATCAATGGAAATAGGGCCATTAGAGGCTAGATTTGTAAAATGCTCTCTATTTTTGGCAGCTCTCTTTCTGGAATTTTTTTAAATAAAAAAATATAAACTTTTGGGTCTGTGCTTTGGACAGCCTGCATGTTTAAGCTCATGAGTGCTCATGTTGCTGGGGATTCAGTGTAGGCAGAAGTCTTTGCGTACAAGGAGCTGGGGTTACAGCCATCGGGAGTGTTTGTAACCTTGGGCACACTTGGATGAGAAAAGGCAAGTGGAGGTGCTAGAGGAGGTGATAGCTGTCTTGGCCGTAATTCAAAGAACCTGGCTGTACTCTTCTACCTCCAAGAAAGGGAGCAGACCGTGGCTGCTCCTGTTCCTTTTCCCATTGACCAGCCTGTGACCAGGGAAACCTCTTGCAGCCCCCAGAGCACTTTCTGACTTTTACACTGGGACCGCCAGGGCCCACTGGAATGAATCAGGCGAGTTTTCCAATTTTTAGTCTTTGACCAAGCAACGCTGGTATTTGGGGGTTCTTGAGAGAGGAGACGGAGAAGGCAATGGCACCCCGCTCCAGTACTCTTGCCTGGAAAATCCCATGGATGGAGGAGCCTGGTAGGCTGCGGTCCATGGGGTCGAGAAGAGTTGAACACAACTGAGCAACTTCACTGTCACTTTTCACTTTCATGCATTGGAGAAGGAAATGGCAACCCACTCCAGTGTTCTTGCCTGGAGAATCCCAGGGACGGCAGAGCCTGGTGGGCTGCCGTCTATGGGGTCGCACAGAGTCGGACACGACTGAAGCGACTTAGCAGCAGCAGCAGAGAGAGGAGAGGGAACCTGGAGTCATGCTGACTCTTCCCTAAGTCTTCACATGGGCAGCTTTTCACTGTCATTGTGACGTGTGTAAAACTCCTGAGTGCAGCCAAGCCTGGGTGCTCACACTTTCCGGCTCTCTCCTGTTGGGTCTCTGCAGCACCCTTGTGAAATAGAAGTGGCTCTCACTTTATTCCTGGGGAATCTGAAGCTCTTCCTTGCGTTCCTGGAGCAGTAGGTGCAGGCGGGTTAGGAGCCCATCTGTCCCACCTGCCTTGGTGCTGCTGAATGTCTCAGAAGGGGTTACCTCCTCCATTCCTGCTGCCTGTCCCCACCGATCCTCGGCCACCTTTTGCTGTCAGAGGCAGAGGCAGCCTTCTCTCTGCTTCTCCCCCTTCTCTCTACACCTGCAAATATCCTTCATTCAGGCCCAGCCTCTCCCCCGACATCTTCAGAGTGGGCCGGGCTGAGGTCAGCCCTCCCACACTCGCGAAGTCATTAGCTCCTGTCCACTTGCAATGAAAGGGGCCCCTCCAAAAAGGTGACACATATGAACACACACCACATGTAAAGCACCGTTCTACATGAGTATGAATCATAATAAACAATGAGGAAACTGAGGCAGGGAGAGGTTGGGTAACTTCCCCGAGGTCACTCGCAAAAAAACAGTCATAACTCTGGCATTTTATCTTAGATGCCATTACAATGGACACTTTCCCCGAGAGATAGCCCAGCAGTGGCCAGAACAGTGGAGGGGACTGCCTCGTGTGTGCTGAGTCTGAGGTCAGCATGTCCACTGCCTTGCCCAATCTGTCCCTGCCACTGCGCTTGAGAGGCAGGGATCATTGTCCCCATACTGCAGATAAGTAAACTGAGGCCTCGTAAAGGCAAGTGCACAGCCTGGGAATCCAAAGGCAGAAGGTGGTCTCAGGTGGTTTGGCTGCAGGCACAGTGCTCTTTCCGGTGCCTCACTGCCCTGACTCCTCGGCCCCACCTTCTCCCGCCCCTGGCTGGCATTGCTCGTCGCACCCCTGTCCACGCCTCCCCCCTCAACAATGGCTCAGCTGCTCTGCCACTTACCTGCCTCTGGTCCTTTTGCACTGGCCTCCCTTAGTTATTACCTGGTGTCTGCCCTTTTAATGCCTTTCTCATTTGGCATCATTGTGAGGCTTCTGAGTCAGTTATTTCTTGAATGGTGGCTGTGAGCTTGTGTCATGGGGACCCAGGCCCTTTCTTAGGAAACTCTTCAGGAGACACATCATGCTGGTTGTGTGTCAGTGGCCAAGAGCACACCCTCTCTGAGCTTCAGCTTCTGGAGCTAAGATTCCTCCAATTTTTCCAAGTCTGACCCTGATGTCACTATAAGTTGGTGGGTTTAATTGCTAAGTCATGTCCGACTCTTGCAACCCCATGGACTGTAGCCCACCAGGCTCCTCTGTCCGTGGGATTTCCCAGGTAAGAATACTGGAGTGGGTTGCCATTTCCTTTTCCAGGGGATCTTTCTGACCCAGGAATTGAACTCAGGTCTCCCCTTGCAGGCAGACTCTTTACTGATTGAGCTACCAGGATGCTACAAAATTGGAGATTCAATCACCGTGAATAATCACATGTGAACAATAGGGCCTGATTGTGAGTCCAGTGAGTTAGGACTGGTCCTGTGGATTGGACCCATCAGAACAGCTTTGCAGAGGAGATGGGACTTCAGCTGGCATGGAGAAGGACTGAGAGGGGAAGAGGTGGGCAAAGCCAAGCTTTTCTCATAGGAATGACTTTCCTAAACCAGACATCCACCCTCATTTTATTCTGGGCGCTTTTAGCCTGCCAAGAAGCAGTGAACCCTAAAATATTTCTGGCCAGAGAAATAAACTCTTATGAATGCTTTGGGTTTTTTTTAAATTCTTTTTTTCTTCACTAGTGCTCTGGCTACCCCACACACTAACTATTCTTGCATCCAATGGCATGTTAACCCTCTTTCTTCTAACTGTACATTCCTACCAAGATTTCACACAGTGAGTCACTGTAGCTCAGGGGAGTGATACAGATGACGGGTATTGACTTACCACTATACGGAGGAGCAGAGCGTGTGCTCAAATAGGACGGCGTCTATGCTGCTGGAAAATTGAACAGATCTCCTGCAACTGCTCTCTGAGCTGCAGAGCGTTGCCCAGGTCCCAGGTACCACCATACTTAGCACTGCTATGAGGCTAGTGACCAGTAAACACACTTAGGTTAACTCTCCCAAACTGTGGGCTTTATAAACCTCCAAGACCTAGTCAGAGAATTCAGTTTGGTTTCCAAAAGTGCCCTTTTGGGAGTTAACTTTCACTTTTCTTTACTACTGGGACTATTCTGAGTGAGCTAAAAATACAGCATCTCCCAAAGGAATTTAACCACAGCATCCCTCCTTCACAGAGTAAATTTCATGGTAATTTCAGGAATGTTACTCTGCAGCATCCTTGCTGTCCTGTCTTTTTGAAAGCCAGGTCTCACCAAATTTGTTTAAAACTTTGAGATACTCTAGCCAAACTCGTGAGCTATTTATCTCAAGGAAGCTGTATAAGAAGCTGTTCAATCTGCTAATCCCGTGCAAACCAGAACCCTCTGGAATCTCTCAGACTGAAACATGCTGGGATGTGTGTTGTTCTCTCCCACCCTCCCCTCTCCCCAGTCTTCTTTGGAATCAATGAGAGTAAAGATAGAAGGGGTGGGGGTAGTGGCCCGTAATTCTCACAAGAGATCTCATGGAGACTTTCTTTTTAAACACGCTTTCCCAGATTTTGTTGTTCATCAGACTCTGCCCTACCAGTCCGTTTCAGTGGATACGTTCAACTCCAAGAATGACGTGTACGTGGCCATCGCTCAGCCTAGCATGGAGAACTGCATGGTGCTGGAATGGGACCACATCGAAATGAATTTCCGGAGCTATGACAACATTACAGGTGTGTTGTGGCTTTGACTGGATGTACTGACCTCATTCGAGTAGTCTAGAACCCGGGAGAGAAGAAATGTTCTTTGTCATCTTGAGAGGGAGCTTGGCTCTCTGGCTTGGTTTGATTTGGGAACAATTTCCAGCCCACCTGCTTCTCTCCAACTTTTTCTGGATGTGGTCAGTTATGATGCAAACAGAAAGCTCAGGTGGTGATTCTACTTACTGTTGGTGATCCTTTTGGAAAGGGAGAGGGTGATGGGGGGCCTGTGGTGGGAAGCACTTTCCTGAAATGGGGAGAAGTCACTTCTAGAATCCCTTGATCTTGAACAGTCATGACAGCCTAAGACTGCACCAGCTTTTTAGCAACTATATGCATCCTTCGACTTTTGTGATGCTGGTAACTAGAATGCTAACATATACACACATGCACATGCACATTCTCATGCACACATGTATGGACACACACACACACACACACACACACTCTCTCTCTCTCTCTCTCTCTCTCTCTCTCTCTAGCTGTTTGTATTGCCCCCTGGCCAGGCCCTGGTGATCACTGCTTCGTTTTAGTGTGTGCTTGCTAAGTTGCTTCAGTTGTGTCCAACTGTTTGTTACCCTATGGACTGTAGCATTCCAAGCTCCACAGTCCATGGGGTTCTCCAGGCAAGAATACTGGAGTGGGATGCCATGCCCTCCTCCAGGGGATCTTCCCAACCCAGAGATCTTTTTTGTCTCCTGCTTTAGCAGGCAAGTTCACCTGGGAAGCCCTTCCTTTTAGTAAATACATACAAAATAAGCATAAATGGCTTCCTAAATTCAAACCTTTCGGATAAGACTTGGTGGTTCATTTGGTGCTGTCATTGAATCCCACTGTCTTAGAGCTACTAAAGATGGACCATCTACTTGCTTTTTAAATAAGTGGATAAAGTCAAAATAATCTTTAAGACTTTTTTTACTGAAATGCAACCTGATCATAATACTGACTTTACCAACAGCACCATTGACTGTGGCCCCATGTGAGGGTTTCCTTCCATGATTCCTGGTCTGATTGCAGCAGCGTCTTGCTGCTGCAGAGAGGGCATGTCCAGGTAGCATTTCAGGGTCCAGAGGCTCCTAGGAACCTCTCAGGCCCAAGGTGGCCTTGCCACAGGTGCAGAGATGCAGGGAGAGAGCCGCTCACCACTGGAGGCAGAGCTGCTAATGAGCCTGACCTAGCGAGAGCTCTGTGAGACGCACATCTCGATGCTCCAAGATGCCATCTGGCCGGTGCTGAGCCTCCATTCCTGGGGAGCAGTCTTACTCGCTCCAAGCGCAGACTCAGCACCGGTGAGTGCCGCGGTTCACGATGGAGGGAAGCCCAGGCCTCCAGACCCTAAAGCCAGTCCATGTTAGAGGAGAAAGGAGGGCGAGAGAGGGGCTCGCTTTGCTGCCTGCAAGGCTTTTGGCTTGTGTCTTTTCTCTGACCTGGAAGATCAGTGAGGGCTGAATGAACCAGCCCCTCTGCCTTCTCTCCTGCCTCCCACCTGAGGAAGTAGGAGCAGAGTGGAGTCGTGCCCTCACGCAAGGAGTTCTGGTGCCAGTGCTTCATGCTGGCACTGGCTGTGGGCTTACAGGGATCCAGGCGCTGGTTAGTCTCACTGGAACTCACAATAGCTGTCTGAGGCGTTACTGCAGGTCCCCTGCAGTAACAAACAGGGGGACAACAAGAGGACAAGCACCATTCGTTCAAAAGAGAGGAGGTGTATAAAGTATAAAGAGCTCAAGTTTTGAAAATCTATGAATGTGGGTTCTACTCCTGACTCTGCTATGTGCTAGGAAGTAGCCATGGCCTTTTTTGAGCCTCAGTTTTCTCATCTGGGAAATAGGCAGGAGATTTGCCTCACGTGGATGTGAGAACTGATAAGTGCCAGGCACAGTGCAGGCAGTTCTTAATGCCGACTTCCTTCTCACCTTTATGAATGAAGAGATGGAGGCTCGGGCATGTTGAACCACTCCAAGGCAGAGCCCAGGGTTCGTCACTGCTCATCCCACCCTTTCCGTCTCCCATTTGACCTTGGTAGGAAGCAACAACACTGCCCTCCACTTGCCCTTCGTACATACTGCATAGGTCACATCATCAGGTTCTTCAAGCCATTCGTTCATTCATTTGTTCACTTAAAGATTTCTTAAGCACTTACGCTGAGACAAGCCCAGTCTAGGTGCTGGGGCCATAGCAGTGAGTAAGTCACAGGAAAACCTCCACCCTCAAGGAGTTTGTATTATAATGGTGGAGAGAGAAAGAGACAAAAAAAGGCAAATAATTGTCATACATACAAAACATTAGATGGCAGCATGCTATGAGGGGAAAAGGTTGCAGGGAGGAAAGATACGAAGTGCTAGGCGTGGAAGGATTTAAATGTTACATAGAGTGTCTGGTAGAGGCTTCATTAAGGAGGTGTCTGAATAAAACCTGTGGGACATGAGGGCTTGATGCACATGGACAGCAGGGGTAGGGGGAGGTGGAGAACATTTCAGACAGAAGGAAGAGCAATTGCAAATGCCCAGAGGCAGGAGGGTATTTTTCCTGTTTGATGAACGTGCAGCTGGCTGGTTTGGCTTGGACAGAGTGGTGCAGGCTGTTGCAGGGGACAAGGTCAGAGAGGTTGAAGGGCTGCTCCTGAGGGCCTTGCAGGTCCTGCCAAGGACTTGGGTTTTTACCCAAGTCATGGGGGATTCTGTGCAGTCATCAGCCAGTCTCCACGGAAGATTTGGGTGCCTGCTACAGAATGCTAGGCTGTGTCCAGCTGCTGGGTGGAGAGTAGTCTGTGTGTGGGGAGCGGACAAAGGTGGAACCGGAGAAAGTAGTTGCAAGGCTGTTGCAAGGGTTCAGGCAAGTGGCCTGGCAGAGACCGCAGAGCTGGTGGGTGGGAAGTGGTGAGGGCAGAGTGGGTGAGGCTAGAGCCAGGACTGGAGTTTGCTGGCTTCCAGGGACTCCTTGGCCTCTCAGGGTCGATGCCTGAATCTTCTGAGAGGTGGCAGCTGGACGCAAAGCCCACGGCAACCCTCCTTACAGCCAAGCCCAAGAAATGAGCTACAACAGCTCATTACGCTTTGTGTTTGTTCATCTTAAGAACGCCAGCATGACAGTTTTTTCAGAACTCTGGCTCTGGATCTTTCTAACTGGTGACTTTGGCTGAGTTTTAACTTCCATGAGCCTCTTTCACCTGTAAAATAGTAATTTCATGAATTCCTATTTCATCTGTAAAATGGTATCATAGTGTTGGGCCCATGGGAATTTAACTGGGTAGCTTATATAACACTTAGCATGGGGCCTGGCATATAGCAAATTCTTAACGATTGGATATCAGTAGTGGATAAAAAATGAACATGTGATTCTCCTTCCTGCTGCCACCACTAGGGAGATCCACCAGCTTCAGATATTTTACTTTTCTTAATTTATGAAAGCACACAGAATTCATACATCAGGGTCCCAACACACTTTTCCAAACACATATTGCCAATTTTCTGTCAATGATTTCTGACCACATCCTACCTACAATTCAGCCACCTCACTTTCTTTTGTTTCTCCCTTTACTTGCATTTCCAGGCTCAAATGCAGCCTCCTACAGGGAGCGTTCCTTGATTACCTTATTGGAATGAATTATCTGTTCTCTCTCCTCTCTTAATACATGAATTTCCATTAAACACAAATAGCATTCACTGTCACATAATTTTTCACTTAGAGGAAGGCGGCTCATATTTATGTGCTCAGTGATTCATAAATCGTTTCTTACCTCGATCACACAGCCTCGTAGTGTGTAGTTATTGTCTGTATTTTATAGTGAAAAAAACAACAACAGGAAGCAGCTCTCCTTCCCCCATAGACCCTAACTCTTTGACTTCAGTAAAACTATCTCTACAGCTTTCATAAGTGTAAGAATGCCAGGACCAGCAGGGAATGGCCTGAAGGAGGCAGGGGAGAAGGGTGGTTACAGGAGCAAGGGGGTCAGTCGCTCTTTGGAGGAAAGAGTGTGACTCACTAGAATTCAGCCTGGTGTGGAGGAAGCTCTGTAGCTCACACAAGCTGGGCATACGACAAGTGGATGAGCCAGGGCACAGCCCTGAACCACTTGCCTTGAACCAGACCGAGGCAAATGTGGACCGTTCTCCCCTCTCAGGGCCATGCATGCCTCATTTATCATCTTGTTTGATCACAGGGTGATCCCAGAGTTAGCAAGGGCTGGGCAGGCTTTTCTCCTTTCTTGCCTGGCAAGCCTGGGGCTCCAAGGAATGGGAGGAACACATGCTTCCTCCTCCATGGCCCTGCTGAGTATCATGCAAAAGGGACATCTGTCTTCTAGTAGGTGAGGGAGACCCAGGGTCATGACCCCCACCCCCGGCTTTGCTCCTTATCTCTTCTTCTTCTTTCTACATATCTTCTCACCTCTCCTGTTTTGGGTTAATTTCGTTTGCCTTTTGATTTCTGCCCACTAAATATGTTGCAGCATCTCTCCTCCTAGATTAAAATACACACACACACACATGATTTCTGCTGCTGTTGAAACTACACTAGCTACAACGTCATATGCTACCCCTGACAGAGGTATGGAGCATCTCCAAGAAAGGAATTCTTTCTGTCTCATGTGGCCCCTCTGCTGAGACCAGCAGAGCAGGGACCTCTGTAGCCAAGGCCTCAGGGGGACAAGGAGCATGCACCTCAATTAGTGTTGGCAGGTGGGAGTCAGAACAGTTTCTGAGAAGCGGTTTAGTAGTTTAAACTCAGAAGTCTTAAAAATGTGCACAACGTCTGCTCTGCAATCTCTCCACTGCCAGATGGTCTTCAAAAACAGATTTCCCTACAGGGAAACGTAGTATTTACAATCATGAAAAACTGGAAATAACTGCAGTGTCCAGCAGTAGGGAATTAGTTAAGTAAAATGTGGTGTCTCCATGCAATGGAATATTAGTGAAGTTACTCAGTCGTGTCCGACTTTTTGCGACCCCATGGGTGGTAGCCTACCAGGCTCCGCTGTCCATGGGATTTTCCAGGCAAGAATACTGGAGTGGGCTGCCATTTCCTTCTCCAGGGGATCTTCCCAACCCAGGGATCGAACCCAGGTCTCCTGCATTGCAGACAGACGCTTTACCCTCTGATGTAGTGTTAAAATTCAAGTTGTAGAAAATGCAATAACGTGGGAAAATGTTCACAACATAATGGTCAGGGGGAAAAGTAACCTATAAAAAGTCCATGTATACTGTAAGTGCATATCTATTTTTTTCCCATTTCTTTTCTTTTTTAATTTATTTTTTATTGAAGGATAATTGATGTACAGGATTTTATTGTTTTCTGTCAAACCTTAACATGAATCAGCCATAGGGATACATATATCCCCTCCCTTTTGAAGCTCCCTCCCATCTCCCTCCCCATCCCACCCCACTAGGTTGATACAGAGCCCCTGTTTGAGTTTCCTGAGCCATGCAGCAAATTCTCATTGGCTGTCTATTTTACATATGATAATGTAAGTTTCTAGGTTACTCTTGCCCAAGTCTATTTTTAAAAAGCACCTTTGAGTATGTGCAGAGATTGGCAATTAAAGAACTATATCAAGATATTAAGTGTTATTTCAGCATTTTCAGTTCAAGTGATTTTTTAAAAATTTCCGTCTTTGTGCTTTTTGGTACATTGGTGGTGGAGTGTAGACTGGAATGAGACTCCCTGGATTTGAGTCTCAGACTCTACCACATTGTATAATAGCTGTGTGACCTTATATAAGTTACTGAACTTCTCTATGCCTTGATAAAATTAGGATCATGGTGATGGTAATAAGAGTACCAGCTTCATAAGACTGTGGTAAGGATTCAGTAGGTATATACTAAGTATATAATAAGCATGCAAAGGACTTAGAATAGTGCCTTTATAAGTGTTACCTATTATTATTTTCAAAATTTGCTTTAATGAACTTTAAAAAGTTAGTTTTCAACAAAGGAAAGGGACCAGTTTCTTGCAGGGAAGCCAAAGCAATGGAAGAGAAAAGTAAATACCACCCTATGAACCAGTCACCATGTTCCCCCAAAGTTAATACTAAGAGTAGAAATTGGGTAATTATCCTTGTAATTTACAGACAAAATTCACTTTGGTCCAAATTGCCTAGGAAATAAGGGGGAAGAAACAACTTTTAATTGAATGACCTAGATGGAGGGTCAGTACTATTTGAGATGTGGGTGGTGCTATTGTTCTCTGGCTGGAATGGGAAGACTAGGGAGACTTTGGGGGAGACTCTGGGTGCAGACTGGGAGAGGATGGTGGGAGCTGACCCAGACAGAGGAGTCATGACTGAAAAGGTTCCCCTTTTCCTGCAAAGTTCTGGTTTGGTGCTGCCAGAGTTGGATCATTCAGATAGTGGCTCATCAGCAGGTATTCCTGCAGCGCCCGCTCTGGGCAGTCGCTATAAAGTTGCCTCTAAGTCCTGATTCCTAGCGTTTTAACCCTCAAGAGAAGAAACCCATTTAATTGCTTCATTCTGACCCGTGGAGCTAGGAATAGCATGCAGACAATTTGTGTCTTAGTGAATTTCCTGAATTATGTACCTACCTCTAAAGACACCAGAGGCCAAGGTGACCAACACTTACCTATTTCTATGGAGATATATCTAAACTATTTTTTTAATTGTGGGAAAATATACATGACATAAAATTTACCATCTTAACTATGTTTGTGTGCTGTCCAAGGCATGCATCGATCCCCAGAATTCATCTTGAAAAACTGAAACCCTGTGCCTATTAAACTGTAACTCCTCTTTCTCTCCTGCTCTCAGACCCTGGGTACCACCCTTCTGCTTTCTCTCTCTACTGACTCCTTTAGGGACCTCACATGAGTGGAATCAGACACTATTTGCCTTTTTGTGACCGCTTACATCAGTTAGCCTAACGTCTTCAACATTCATCCATGACACCGCATGTGTCAGAATTTTCTTCCTTTTTAAGGTGGTACAGTATTCCATGATGTGTATATACCACACTTTGTTTATCTATTCATCCATCAATGGACACTTGGATTGTTTCCACCTTTTCACTATTGTGAATGATGCTTCTGTGAACATGGTGTTCCTCAAGACCCTGCTTTCAATTCTTTGGGTTTAAACTCAGAAGTGGAATTCCTGGATCATATGGTAATTCTTTGTTAAGATTTCTGAAAACTGCCATACTTTTTTCCACAATGGCTACATGTTCACAAGAGTACCAGTTTCAGTAAAGATGAGCATTTTTTTTTAATTTACCTAAAGACTTTATTAGTTACCAATTTTTAAATACCAATTAGATTTACATAATTATTTATCCTTTTCATCCTCTTTATTAAACTCAAAATATTCTGATTAATATGTTATTATTCAATACAGTTGATTTACCTGAAGAAACTCTTGTTTTATATAGTTTAGATTTACATAAACAAATATTTACTCTCTTCATTGTTGTTTGTTATTTCTTTTTTTTAATTGAACTATATTTGGTTTACAATATTGTGTTAGTTTCAGGTGTATAGCAAAGTGATTCCATTTTATATACATATGCATATATTTCAGTTTATTTTCCATTATAGATTATTATAAGACAGTGACCATAGTTCCTTCTGCTATACAGTAGGTCTATTTTATATACAGTAGTGTGTACCTGATAACCCCATACTCCTAATTTATCCCTCCCCGCTTTCCCCTTTGGCAACCATAAGTTTGCTGCCTGTGTTTCTGAGTCTGTTTCTGTTTTGTAAATAAGTTTACTCACATTATTTTTAGACTTCAGGTGGAAGTGGTGTCATATAGCATCTGTCCTCCTCTGACTCTGGGCAGGAGTGTCTCACAGTGGCTGTCCTAACCCGCCTCTCTCCTCTCCTGGAGCACAGGTCAGTCCATCGTGGGCTGCAAGGCCATCCTCATCGACGAGCAGGTCTTTGTGGTGGTGGCCCAGCTCTTCGGCGGCTCTCACATTTACAGATACGACGAGAGCTGGACCAAGTTTGTCAAGTTCCAAGACATAGAGGTCTCTCGCATTTCCAAGCCCAACGACATCGAGCTGTTTCAGATCGAGGACGAGACGTTCTTCGTCATCGCCGACAGCTCCAAAGCCGGTCTGTCCACCGTGTACAAATGGAACAGCAAAGGATTCTACTCATACCAGTCCCTGCACGAGTGGTTCAGGGACACGGATGCTGAGTTTGTGGACATAGACGGGAAGTCACACCTGATCCTGTCCAGCCGCTCCCAGGTCCCCATCATCCTCCAGTGGAATAAGAGTTCCAAGAAGTTTGTCCCCCACAGTGACATCCCCAACATGGAGGACGTGCTGGCTGTAAAGAGCTTCCGGATGCAGAACGCCCTCTACCTCTCCCTCACCCGCTTCATCGGGGACTCCAGGGTCATGAGATGGAATAGCAAGCAGTTCGTGGAGATCCAGGCTCTACCCTCCCGGGGGGCCATGACCCTGCAGCCCTTTTCTTTTAAAGAGAATCACTACCTGGCCCTGGGGAGCGACTACACGTTCTCCCAGATATACCAGTGGGATAAAGAGAAGCAGTTCTTCAAAAAATTTAAGGAGATTTATGTGCAGGCGCCTCGTTCCTTCACAGCCGTCTCCACTGACAGGAGAGATTTCTTTTTCGCATCCAGTTTCAAAGGGAAAACAAAGATTTTTGAACACATAGTTGTCGACTTAAGTTTGTGAGGGTATGATTGGTGAAGTTAAAAGACACGTAGCTTTAGCTCTTACATGAAAGAACTGAGGGTGGGGGCGGGGGGAGGAAAGAAGCCAGGTTCACATCTCCGAAACTGAAAATGCATTAGGGAAATAGTTAGAAGTTTGCAAACTTTTAGAACTCATATTTTAATCAGGGATTGCATTTATTGGCTAACTGCATGACACGTGCATTCTCCCACTTAAAAAGACGTCCTAAAGCCTGTAATTACTGAGAAAAGAGAGCAGCATTAACTCTTACCATCTAGGGAAGTAATAAGCTTTTTTTTTTTTTCTTTTTAATGAGGAAGGAGAAAACTCGATAAGTTGGGACTGCTCTTATAATGGAATAAAAACAAACAAACAAAAAGACCAAACACACTTTGGGCCCTCCTCATTCCATTGTAGCAGTCTATTGGGTAGGAATGCTTAAAAAAATCAGAGACAGCAGAAAAGACTTGCTGATGATCAGTTTAAAATCTGATAACAACCCAGCAGTGCTATTTTGAGCCTTTCCAGTTTCCTGAATCCCCCCTAATAGCAGAGCCTTGATTATTTCTTTGGTTCCTATAGATGGATCTTCATCATGGGTGTGTTAACAAAATAAGGTTTAACATTGCTTTCTCTGCTACAAAGAAAGTATTCTGCTGACATACATAGTGGTCCATCACGGGCTGCGGGCTCAGAAGTGAGACGAAGGCGATTCCCGCTCTACTTGTGGTTCAAAGCTGACCCCCACAGTGGCCAGCACAGTCGAGCTCATTTAATGCTCTCCATGACTCATGTGCTTCTCTGGGCCCATCCTTTGAGTGTGTGGGTAACCTGCAGACAGGCCAACGACTGAGTGGTGCTTTTTATTCTGTCCGAGAGCAATAGAACAGGTATTTTCATCTGATGAGCATCTGGTAGAGTTTTTGAAGTCAGATTTTGTGGAGTCAAAAAGGGTTTTGTACAACTCTCAACATTCTTTGAAACCTAGAGATGAGTCTGTGATGGAGGCATGTTTTGCCCTCTGGGCAACTTAGTATGTCAAGTAATTGAAATACTGCCTACCTCCCTGCCTCTCTGCCTACCCCCCTGCTCCTGTTCCAGTCCTGCTTGATCCGTTTGCTGGTACTTCTACCGCCAGTCCAGTCCTTCTGAAGGTGCTGCTCCATCAAACTACAGAGCCCCGGTATTCATGGTGGCAGTGTCCCTTCCTCTCCCAGCCCATTAGCAGCGGAAACCCACAGCCTCACATGGGGTCACGTGCCGGCAAGGGCTCACCCTGTACAGGCTGGGCTCTCGTGGGTGGGGGTCTCAGGCTGATCCAGAGGGACCAGGTTTGGAGCCAGACACCGTGAATCCCCATCCACACTCAGGGGACACGGTGACCTCTCTGGTCTGGACAGTGTGGGCAGCTCATGGGGTCTGGTTTTATAGGAGGTCCCAGTGGATAGTCTGCCTGGCTAGGGCTTTCTCTTCAGAGTATGTGAAGTGGACGCTTTCAGGGGTGGTTCTCCAGCCAGTTCTCTCCTGGCTGCGAAAGTAGCACACTCATCTTCTACTGTATTGCTCTGTTTTTTAACGATTGTTTGCCAAGTCATGAGTAGGTAGATGTTTTGTCACAAATATGAATGTGTTTGTTGTTTCCAAACTTTGAGCAATGCAGATCGAGGCAATAAATAGCACTTACAGAACGATGCCCAGGGTCACAGCAGCTCTCCTGGGGACGTCCTGGGACTGCAGGCTCAGGGCTTCCAGCCCAGCTCACCCACACACAGTAGCGTTGCTGCTCCAAACTTTCCTACTAAACATGAGTGAACAGGGAAAAAAGTGACTTGTTTTCATTTTTAAGCACAAATCATTCTTCTGTGTTTTTTGCCTTCCTGGTTTATTTGAATTGACTACAAATATCAGATCCTCAGGCTCTCCAGGTGGTTCAGTGGTAAAGAATCTGCCTGCCAATGCAGGAGATATGGGTTCAATTCCTGGGTCAGGAAGATCCCTGGAGGAGGAAATGGCAACCCACTCCAGTATTCTTGCCTGGAGAATCCCATGGACAGGGGAGCCCGGCGGGCTACAGTCCATGGGGTCGCAAAGAGTTGGACACGACTTAGCAACTAAACAACAACAAACCCAAATCTTCACATCAGAGGCTGCAAGTGGGACCGCTCTGCCTTTCCCCCCAGCTGTCAAGATGGACTGGCTATGCTTTCTGGCACCTGGAATCCCTCAGACGGGCCTGGGAGAAAAGCAGGCACTTGACAATTAGTGCAGGAGACATGTAGACTGTCCCAGCATTTGCACCAGGTCAAAGTGATGTTCCTGATTCCAGCTGCTGGTAGAGGAGGCAACGGGGCATCTTCTCCATTGCTGCCTCCTCAGAGCACTGACCACCTTCTCAGCCTTGCCTTTCAGGGTGGAGTTGGGGGCCACCCTCTGCCCTCACCACACTGGGAACCATCACCTGAAATCTGGAAAACCCGGGAAGAAGAAGGGATGGGGCTGGGGGTTGGGGGGGACTTGCTGGGTCCAGATGAGACATCGGAGGGTGAAAGGAAAATCTAAAGCAACTGGTGGTGAGGAGGGGTGTGGGGGTGAGAGGGTGGGAAACCCATCAGCGGCAATCAGTTTTCCTTTTAAAAAAACCATAGACAAGATGGGAGTCTTCAGTCTACAGAGTCCCCGTGCCGAGGGACGAAGTATTTGTTCTGGCTGACTTACCAAAACAGCATAGATGTTCTTGGCAGGAGGCTGTGGAAGCTTTGCTTCATTAATCTTACTGCTCCCTCCAAAGAACCCTAAGAAACAATTCCTGCAAGAAGGTTTCTTCCAGTAATAATAGAAGTAAAAAACCAAAACAAATAGAAAAGCCCCAAACAACAACAACAACAAAAACCCAACGCAGAGAAACATGTGGGCCCCTCCCCTGTGGGGCTGGTCTTAGAAGACGTTGCCCTGGCTTCTCCATGCCTCTCCATCACCCACTGGTGATGATCATCTTGGCAGTTTCTTTTTTCTTTATAATCTTGGAATCTAGGCACCCAGATCAAGTCCCTCTGTATGACCATGTGGCCAAGCCACACAGCCTTAAAGGGAGAGGACTAGTCCCCAAACTCCATGGGGTCAGGAATAGATCTCTCACAAACACTCTGAAAACAAACCTTAGGTGTGAATATCATGGTGTTCTCAGGAACATGATTAACAACTAAAAGCTACAGAACTGCTATTACATGCAAGACCCTTGTAATTCTGCCAGAAGTTACAAATAATTTTCTGTTCTAAGGAGTGTTTTTACCTAGCATAATGGGTGAAAAGGCCACCCTGCATTTTGGGAAAACTTTGTTTTTCTAATACACAATGTGTTCATCTCAGTTTTTCAGTTTTTGAAGGCATACTGGAGGGCAGATACTATTCTAATTTCAGAGAAAGAAGTAGACACAGACAATCTTAAGTCAATTGCCTGCTCAAGATTATCCAGTTGTGAGTGACAAAGCTAGAGCTTTCCTCTGAGCAGCAGACTTTATGTTCTCTTTCTATGACACTGCCATGCCCTCCCAGTAAAGACTTTTTATCCCGATTTTGACTATAGCAGCACCTTGAGATAAAATAAAAAATGCAACAAAATGTGCATAGACAGAGGAAAAATCATCCTAAACAGACACCATTCAATCAATCGGTCCATTTAATAATTAAACACTACAGAACTGTAGTTATATCCAAGACTCTTTAAAGAATCTGCCAGAAATCACAGATAATTTTCTGTTCTTAGGAGGGTTTTTAGCTAGCATGATAGTTCCTCCCCCCCGCACCCCGCCCCTTCCCCTGTTAGCTATGGGGGGGAGGCATTAAAGTTAAGACACATATGGTTCTTATCACAATGTCCATAGGATAAACAGGAAGAGTTCCATGAGGGAAATGCCAAAACCTCCAATGCACGAATAATGATGAATTGCTCCCGGGCCATCACCAACCTTTGGGGAGCATGCTGGAAATGGCAGTGTTGCATTTTTCTTCCCCATGGAGTGAGAGGCTGTATATTTTTAGGCAAGAAATCAGCATGGGATGCTGGAGGTTTGGCTGCCAGGAACACTCACAATGGAACTTTCTCCAACCTGGGGTATAATGAAAGAGACATGAAGGTCTGCGGGAGGGGAGTCTTATTTGCATGCCATCCAAAGAAAAGCTCTTTAGCCAGCTTCCTCATTCTTCTGCAGAGGTAACAGCCCCAGGATCACAGTTTTGAAAGAGAATTCTTTAATTAGAGTGTGGTGAAAAATTCTGTTAAACTGGATTCTGAAGTGGGCTGCTATAATCTAGGTGCTGATGCAGTGAGCAAAGTGACCCAGAGTTGGGGACACTGGGATAGGCAGAAAGGCAGGGCAGATGGCTATGAAAGAAATGCTTTTGGGAAAGTAGAAATAAACTGGAAGAAAAGGAAAAGTAATAATGGTTTTCTTTGCCTCAGCCAGACAAATGGAGGGTGAAAAGACCAGGCAAATTTAACAGTATCCCAATTATTAAAGAAGGGAACCAGTTGTAGTGCTAATTAAAATGAGAGTTATATTATAAAACTACTTAGCTCTACACTGAGGTACTCTTGTCCCGACACTTCCACTGCTTGTATCAGAATCTGCCTTTTTCTAGTAGGAAACTATGCATTCTCTACCCATCTCTTCAACTTATCAGGAATGTATAAGAACTGTGGTAAAATTGGCCAGTATGCCATCTGGCATCATTTTATGGATTTTAAATACATAACTTAAATCAAATAGGAATAGTTTATATGTATATGAAAACAAATTCTGCAATCTATAATGCAGGCTACCATGGATGAATTTTAAGGCTGAATATACATTTAGCTCTTATTGGCAAATACACTTACTGAATGATGTGCCTCTTAATTCAACATATTCTGTAAGCCTATGAATAAAAAGTAGCCCTGCCTAATATGGCTTGGATTTCTGGTCTGCTTGAATCTGGATACGCCCACTTGAGTCAGAGTTGAAGGGCTGCCCACAATGGGCTCCTGAGGAAGGGTAGTGTGTATCCATTCTCTTGGTGGCTTCCTCCTCTTTGACATGGAAGAGGGCACAGCAGGGGCCTCTTGCTTCTTCTACTTGCAAACTTAAAAGCCACAAAGAACTTTTACAGCCACACTTCTGCCTTCTGCCGGATCTGCAGAATCATAATCTTGACAGATTGACAAAGAAGTCTAGGGATGTTTGGGTATTTTCTGATTTTGCTGGTGAGAAGGAGATGATGTTACAAGATCCCGCTGGCTGGGTTGAACCATGATCAACTTGAAGGCTTTTGATTTGTTCTCTGCATGTCTGAGACCTAAGTGGGTACCCGTTAATCATGCAGTCAAAGTTTGTCCCCTCTACCTATGTCTTTAGGAGCCCTTTGGTTTAATTGAACAAATAAAGGGTCAAAGCCTCCAATCACTATACTGTGTCCCTTGTGTGTCAGATACTTTCATACACTGGGGGGCTTTCTAAAAAGTAGAACAGAGTTCTTGCTCTTGTGGTACTAAGAATCAAGTGAAGAGGAAAAGTCGTAATTGTATTAAGCTATAATTACAACCTGGTGGCTCAGAGGTTAAAGCGTCTGCCCGCAATGCCGGAGACCTCGGTTCAATCCCTGGGTTGTAAGGATCCCCTGGAGAAGGAACTGGCAGCCCACTCCAGTATTCTTGTTTGGAGAATCCCATGGACAGAGGAGCCTGGTGGGCTACAGTCCACGGGGTCGCAAAGAGTCGGACATGACTTAGGGACTTCACTTTCTTTCACTTTCATAATCACAACACGGAGTCTAGGGAATATTCTGCAATGCAATGTATGACTCATTGTGCAGTGAATGGGACAAGGAGGGATGACAACTAAATTAACTGTTGGTATGGTGTATGCCCTGAATTAGTTTGATATATGACCACACCCAATGGCTCAGCAGGTAAAGAATTTGCCTGCAATGCAGGAGACACAGGAGTTGCAGGTTCAATCCCTGGGTCAGGAAGATCACCTGGAGAAGGAAATGGCAACCCACTCCAGTATTCTTGTCCAGAAAATTCCATAGACAGAGGAGCCTGGCGAGCTACAGTCCAAAGGATTATAAAGAGTCGGACATGACTGAGCACAGATGGGACCAGATGATGACCACATCTTAAAAAGAAACACTTTTGTCGGCTTCCAGTCCTCATGGATCAGAAGTCCTGGCATTGCTCACCTGGGCCTCTGCTTAGGGTGTCATGAGGCTGCAGTCAAGGTATCAGCCAGACTGCATTCTTGTATGGAGGCTCATGGAAAGATCTGATTTCAAGCTCATTCAGGTGGTTGGCAGAATTTATTTCCTTGAGATAATAGGACTGAGAGCCTGTTTTCTTGCTGGTTGTGGTTATGAGAACACTTCCAGCCCCGCAGTTCCATGCCACCGACCTTCACCATAGGTCTCCTCACAGCATGAACCTTTGGCTTCTTCATTGTCATCAAGGATCTTGGGCCTGATGTTCTGTCACCTTTGCCTTGTTCTATTGGTTTGAAGCAGGGCACAAGTCCCCATTACTCACAGGGAGGGGATTATGAAGAATATAACCCCCTGGAGACAGATCACCTTAAAGTGTGTCCACTACAAGCACCAACCAAACAGAATGGATGCCCCGCTGATCATGGTAGACACTAGTCGTAAACAAACTTGGCCAGTACGTTCCAGTCAAACTTGAGCTATGAACATAGATGATACAATCGTAGGAAGAAAGGTCACTTCAGGCCAGGGCAAGAACTCTTGACCAGGATAGAGGGGAGAAGGCCCTGGTTCCTTTTCCTGGTTCCTGTTTGGTATTTGTAGGGAAGTGAATGGAAGAAATGATTTTCTCTAAATCTGCAAGTCAGAGGCTCATTCATCCCAATCTCTCAGTGCATTTCATCTTAGAACTAAAATGCTCCATACAAATTGCTTGGTCCTGACCATGTGCCCATGAGATTATTGCCAAATGAATCCATTAATTGGAGGAAGTTTTGAAACCATGCCATACCCCCCTACACACATACCACACCACACACACACACACGCACATGCAACATATAAACACATCACACACCATGCCACATCAGATACATACATACAAATATGTACCACGTGTATTAAACCCCTACAAGCCACCCACCACATTACCATACCCCCCAACATGCACATAAATACATATACACATTGTATAAATGACAGGTGCCATTTCCACAAATAGTGCTTGACTAGGTTAATATACATTTCCTGAGTAAACATCTGTATTAAAATTAAAAGGAGAAAATATTCAGTTGAGCTAAAAAAACCAATGGCTGTTACTTGAAGGTATTTGAGCAATGTTTTGACTAAGAACTGACTAAAAGACACTTGCTCCTTGGAAGAAAAGCTATGACCAACCTAGACAGCATATTAAAAAGCAGAGACATTACTTTGCTGACAAAGGTCTGGTATAGTCAAAGCTATGGTTTTTCCAGTAGGCATGTATGGATGTGAGAGTTGGACTATAAAGAAAGCTGAATGCCAAAGAATTGATGCTTTTGAACTGTGGTGTTGGAGAAGACTCTTGAGAGTCCCTTGGACTGCAAGGAGATCCAACCAGTCCATCTAAAGGAAATCAGTCCTGAATATTCATTGGAAGGACTGATGCTGAAGCTGAAACTCCAATACTTTGGCCACCTGATGTGAAAAACTGACTCATTTGAAAAGACCCTGATCCTGGGAAAGATTGAAGGTGGGAAGAGAAGGGGATGACAGAGGATGAGATGGTTGGATGGCATCACTGACTCAATGGACATGAGTTTGAGTGGGTTCTGAGAGTTGGTGAGGGACAGAGAAGCCTGGCCTGCTGCAGTCCATGGGGTCACAAGGAGTTGGACGCGACTGGGCAACTGAGGTAACTTGACTAAGAATTGAGTATGGAAGAGGAATGCAATTGCCTTAACTTCCTTAACCACTTCCAAGAAGAAGTCTTAGTGACAGTGTGGCTTGTTGGCTGTGACTGACCTAGAGCAGGATAGCAGTGCTCTGAAGGCCATCCAGGATACCTCAGAGACATCCTTGTCAACTCTTGGGCTTTGAGGTAACTCTCACTAACTGCTGTGGACTGAATATTTGTTTCCTCTTAAAATTCATATAGACATGATCTCAGTCATGTCTGACTCTTTGTGACCTCTTGGATGGTAATCCACCAGGCTCCTCTCTCCGTGGAATTTCCCAGGCAAGAGTACTGGAGTTTGTTGCCATTTCCTTCTCCAGGGGATTTTCCTGGCCCAGGGATCGAAACTGCTTCTCTTTCATCCCCTTCATTGGCAGGCAGATTCTTTATCACTAGCGCCACCAGGGAAGCCCAAAATTCATATGTTGAAGACTAATCTCCAATGTGATGGTATTTGGAAGTGGGGCCCCTTGGGAGGTGATGAGCTCATGAGGGTAGAACCCTCAAGAATGGCATTAGTGCCCTTATGAAAAAAGAAAGAGAAGACATAGGATCCCTCTCTGTGTCACATGAGGAAATCAAAAGAAGGCAGCTGTCTGCAAGCCAGGAAGTGGATCCTCACCAGACACAAATCTGCCAGCACCTTGATCATAGACTTCCAGCCTCCAGACTGAGAAAAATGAATGTGGTTGAAGCCCCCTGTCTATGATATTCTGTTACAGCAGGCCAAACAGACTAAGACACAAGCTTCTGTTCTCTGGCTGAAAACTGTGCCCACTGAGAAATAAGAAAATGCCAGAATAGCATCTCTCTAATTGCTAAGGGTCACCTTGGAGACTGTGACTCATTATCTGCAGGCACGTGGGTTTCCTAGCACTGAACCCTGAAACTGACTGCCATACCCGGTCATAGACTGACAATACAGGGGAGCAAGAGACACATTTGCTCCTGGCAGGTAGACCAGGAGAGGAGGGGAGACTGGGTTCAGTGCATCCAGCTTCACTCCTAAGTCACCAGTCTTGTTAGGACACCCTCTACCTCGTCTAGGGTGGGGAGGCTGAAGCCAGCACACTGCTACCAGGTGTATCACACTCCTGGGCTCCTTCCCATAAGGGAAACATCAGGAGAAGGAAAGGAGCCTTTTCTCCACTACTGTCAACAGCTCAGGACATGTCAGGGTTTCTTGGTCCTTGAGTGGATCTGGGGAGCTCGACTTCCTGTTCTTTACCTCTCTCTGCAAGTTATCCACAGAGACCATAAAAATATAGTCTTAACCACTTGGCAAAGATGTTTTGGTATAGAATAGACCAGAAGAAAAGGGAAATTTGCCCACATTGAGGCTGGGTCCTTCCTGCAGGTGATGGAACTAGATATACCTCAGTAAAGCTCTGTTTTCCCCACAATCATGTTCTAATTTTTTATTTTCTATTTTATCAGCTTTTCATATCACACGGCACCAAATATAGTGAAATATAATGTCATTCTGGGGTCCTGAAAGAAGAAGCAGGTCAACTTTAAATGTCTTTCAGTAGCATAGAAAGTCAGGTGAATTTTCTGGCATTTCATATATTCAGCGAAGTGGAGTATCTGCTCTACTTACTAAAAATGACACTCTCTCCCCACCGTTTCCATCTGCATTTACGTTCTGCGGGTACTGCTGAGGTAGCTATTTTCCCTGATGTTTACTGCCAATACATTTGCATTTTCTGTCACAATAAATAACCCAGTAAAAACTTCCAATGAGTAGGTTCCAACTCTGGCTCTTTCTAAGCATGGAATCACAGACAATGATTTATAGTCATGAAGGCCCAGAGGAAGGGATAAGTGGACATTTGCAAAGGAAGTATAAGTGAATTCAAACAAAAGCTCAATGGCTGTTAGGAAATTAGAGATATGAAAGTTCTACAACCATTCAAGTCATGGTTGGAGAAGGAGGCCATGGCAGGGAGAAGCTCTCATCACACGGGCTGTGTCTGGGGTCACCCCAGCACCTGCTATGTCACCAGCCTATGAAGCAGACACTCTCATAACTCCACTTCGCAGATGAGAAAATGGAGACTCGAAGAGTTTGAGGGCTTCCTGGGTCACAGTGCTCCGTTCAGTTCAGTTCAGTTGCTCAGTCGTGTCTGACTTTTCGCGACCCCATGGATTGCAGCACGCCCGGCTTCTCTGTCTGTCACCAACTCCCGGAGCTTGCTCAAATGCATGTCCACCAAGTCGGTGATGCCATCCAAACATCTTGTCCTCTGTCGTCCCCTTCTCCTCCTGCCTTCAGTCTTTCCCATCATCAGGGTCTTTTCCAAGGAGTCAGTTAGTCGCATCAGGTGGCCAAAGTCACACTGCTAAAAAGTGGCAAATTCAGGTGACTTGTTCAAGTTAGTACAGCGATTAAGACCTGGTATGGGAACATAATTACATCGTTCACCACCAGAATAGGGTTAAAATGCAGGGTGCCAGTCAATTTGAATTTCAGATAATTTGATATTCAGATAATAAATAAACTTTTTTTTAAGCATAAGGATATCCCTAATATTGCATGGGATATACTTATGCTAGTGGCTCAGCCGGTAAACCACCTGCAAGGCAAGAGACCCGGTTTTGATCCCTGAATCAGGAAGATCCTCTGGAGAAGGGAATGGTTACCCACAACAGTATTCTTGCCTAAGAATTCCATGGACAGAGGGACCTGGTGGACTACAGTTCATGGGGTCTCAGAGCTGTACACAACTGAGCAGCTTTCAATTCTCACACTTTCATGCTAACAAATGATCCTTTGTTTTTCTGAAATTCAGATTTAACAGATACAGCGTCCTGTACTTTTATTTGCTAGATCTGGCAACCCTAATCCAGAATCCACACTTTTAAGCACTGCATTGTTTTAAGATGCTCAGAGTGCCCCTGGGGAGAAGTGTCTCAACTCTCATTTTAGTTTGTACGGCGGGATAGTTTACATCATACATAAATGTTTGCACCTTATCCTCATAACCAATGGGAAGGGCCAATAGTATGAGGAAGCTGAAACCAAACAGCTTATATCATTTGCCTAAAATCACAGAAAATACTAATCATATCCAACCCTGATATGGCAGTTGGCCGATGCCGGGTGCTATTTTATGAGTTTTTTACCTATTTTCTCACTTAGTCCTCAAAAATCCTGCAGGACAGGTCAAATCATTATATCCATTCACAGACTGAGTGCAAGAGGCACAGAGGGGTTGAAGAAGTTGTCTGGGTCACAGGGTCAGTAAATGGAAGAGCCTGGCCTTGAACCCAGGAAAATCTGGCATCGGAGAGTAGTATACTTTCATCC